ACGTTTGTTTAGATTAAATTTATATTTAAAAACATACGTAGCTTATGCTGTTAAATATGTTTTGCAAAATTCCCGTTTATTCTCCAAAGTTTAGATGATTCTCGATAGTAACAATTAACAATATATGTATGTACGTAAACGCTTAAATGTAGCGTCAGTATTGTTACGTAAAACTGAAATTTCGAGAAAGCCTTCACACGCCTATAAATATAACCAATGCGACGCGCCAAAAAAAATAAAAAAAATTATATATATTATTAGTTTGCTCTGGTCAGTGTACTATAAACTTTGGAAACTATAACTGTGATTGTTATAACGCTTATCAATCGGAAAACTTAAGACATTTGACCAGGAGCATTTACAAAGTTCGAACATTACAAATCATTTAACTTCAGTGAATTCTCATCGGACATTAGTACTTTTACGAAAATTATACTGTTGTTTCAGATTTTCTTCTAAAATAATTCGGTTACATTTTACCCCATGTTGTTGACTTGATTTCTGATCCACCTTGGAACACTGCTAAGCATATTCGTGTCATCCACACCGCCAGTCTCCTTAATTTTAACTTCCCAACAACACTCTGAGTGGTGTTTTTTTTTCTCTCTCTCTGAATGAAGTGCATTAAATTCGGCAGCAGCCTTCCACCGGGCCCAAGCTTCTCAGCCACACGACAGGATTAACTCGACCTTCTCGTGCTTTGACAGCTCCATAGTCAGTCATGTATCTGAAATTAAGAAAAGCGGTAAATCGCCTATGGTTACAGATTTTTCGGACACCCTGTATTTTACCCAATGACGTGATCTCCAAATGAATGGAAAATAATTTACTCGTAAGTTGATATAAACAGATACGGTAGAAAATAATAGATGAATTGTTTAAAAGCAACTGTTGAACAGTTACAAGTAAAAAGAAAGAAAGGCGGGGAGTTGAGAATAAAACCGGGCCATTTATAAGATGAAAGTGTGAACATGTTTATCATGATAAAAGCTATCTTTAAACCCTCGTATCGCATTAGCATTTAGAAATGAGATAAATGAAAAAGTTGAAGCGTGATATGTGAGCGAATATGATTTTTTTCTTTTTTTTATAAAGTTTTATAGCTTTTCTTCGGGCATATTGTTGAATATCTCGGAACCAGAATCAGTCGATTGTAGCCCAATATCTGTGGCGAACTTTCCAGATTCCTCCATTGAAACGTTTCGTTTTAAATTCTTTCAAAGATGTTTTGGGTAGTTCAAAAGTACAATATTTTCTTAAAAGATATAACGCAATCCTAGAATCCTGCCAGGCCATCTGTGTGTTCCGAAAAGGTAATATAAAGGAAGTACATGTGTAAACAAAGTTGTGTATCTGACATTATGAACTATCTGTATTAGTATCATAATACATAAAACCAAATTATTACAGCATTCAGAATACCCACTTGCCATTGATCTGGAAAACCATGGCCGCTGCTTCACTCAAGTAAGCTTCCGGCAAACCTACTTTTCCCCTCTCTTCTCTCCTTGGTTTATCTAACGTAAGTATCATCAAACGTTTACGTACAAGTTAATGTAAGATAATTATAATCTAACTTCGAAATTACTATAATTGGTATTGTCATAAAAAATAATTGTACACAACGTTTGATCAAATTGTTAAAAAAAACCACTGGGGTAACATTACGTAATTATTTTTATTTAGTACTTATTATAATAAAAAGGAAGAATAATTGTTGTGTGTGTGCTTTTTTAACGGTTTTCTCTCTGAAATAAAGTAAGGATGTTAGGTAAAATGATAAGAACATTCTTAAGTTTTTATTTTTCAGTAATAAAGTATATAGCAATCACAACTAAAACCTTCAATTTATAGATGTTTATCCTTGACAAATTTTTGACCTGTTGGGCGATTTACTTATCAAAAATCAGATATTTTCACAGAGAACTTAGTTTTCACACATATAAGTGTATAAAGGTTTGTATTTGAAGATCCATCCAATCTCTAGTTCAAGATAGATCTTTAAAGGCGCATATGCTCGGAATCAACAATGACAGATCTATTTATCTTAGTATTTTTGTGGTGGCGGCGAGTTCAAATTTTGTTTGGGCCGAGTCCAATATTTGTTTGGGCCGAGTCCGGTCTTTTAATGTGTTTAGAGCATTGTTTCAGATAGAAAACTAAAGTATTGTCCATGCTAAGGCAAACCAGTTAGCAACAAGTTTTCCAGTGTAACAAGGTGCATTGTCATCTTGAAGGACATTAACAGTATGGTTAAAGTGATACATCAAAGGGTGATCTTGGGGAGGGTGTCTTTGAATATTCTTTTACTGACTACTTCAGCATTTCACTGTAATGTTTGTAACAAATCCGCACTAACAAAATAAAGTTCATCCTTAATAGAACCACGTACGTCCTACACAGTTGGAATCAGGAGCTCAGAAGTAGGCCTAACTATGCTTACAGATTTTCTTAAAGTAAGACAGGGAATCAAGTTTTATTAAAATAACGTACGTATTTGGACATACTTAGCAAATACAATGTACTTTAATATGTCGGTAATTATTCAGTGTGTATAAGTAATATTGAATATAATTTTAATGTATATATTGAACTTTCTGTCCAGGAGTGTGATGACCTTTTTGGCACTAAAGTCATGCCAGATTTATAGTCACGAACATGCGGAATTCGTAAAACTGCAATAACGCTTTCCCTGTTGCCAAATCTTATTTTTCAAGCTTAGGCTAGCATTTTACAGAATTAAAAATTATAAAACAACTACGTCTTTTTAGTTCCCATTTCTGTTAAAGTATATAATATAATGCTATTTACATAGTTACAAAATAGCCTTGGTCATCCATACAGTCATGTTTGACTGTTCAGATGTTTACTAATACCATATCTGAAATCAATTTAGAAATACTCAGATTTCAATAGATATTCAGTCGTACTGATGAAACCACGAGGAAAAAATATTAAAATCTTATGCTCGTCATAACGTAAGAACTCGGTACTTTCTTTAAAAATAAAACTTAGTGTTATTTCATAAACCGAAGAAATCGCACCATTACTCTTAGTTTGAAAGTTTTCTATTTGCTATAAAGTTATAAAATTTTTAAATGGGTATACTTACTTGTTTTGTTATTTAAAATGAAACTTCTAATAACTGTCTCAATAGAATATTATTCAACATAGTTTATACAGTGGGCTGTGTCGGGTTGCAGATCGAAGCATTCAAGATGTGGTGTCATTGATATATTTTACATTTTCAGTAAGAAAAATATTATAAACATGACAGTCAGCCTCGTTCTACGGTTCAAAGAGCCTGACAAAGTCCTTATTATGGCTAGTGTTGCTTGTTGTCTGCCTTCTTTTTCGAGAGTAATTTGAAATTAGGAACGGCTATACCTAAATCCTAAGGGTTTATGACTTGCATGTTTAGCCTGTGTGCTCATAAGGTTCCATTCTGATTTAATATTCCAATCAATAAAAATTATTTTCCCCTCGATGGGTCAGCGGTAAGTTTACGAACTTCAAACACTAAAATCCGGATTCGATTTCCCGTGATGGATAGAGCGCAGACAGACAATTGTGTGGCTTTGCACTGAAGCAGACAATAAAAATTGGCCATAGGCCTAAAAAACTCAAACTTTAGAACTTTTGATTGGATGACTTTTCTGCACAAAATTAGGGATGCGTATGGTGATCATGTGTTTAAAAATCCTGCAGATAAACTTGACCCGCAATATAGAGGCGATGCGGAATTAGTTAAAGTACCGATGATAGAAAGGTGAAAATCACAAGTGTGAGAGGACAGTGTTGGAATGAAGGACTGGTGTGTTCCTTACACGTGCAGATAGTAAACAATGTACAGAACTACATTATGACCTTTTTATACTTTACTAAATCTTGGGTCAAGATACAAAGACATGATAGGGTAATTCTGCAACAATACCAACAGGTATTTTACATTCTCTGCTTGGACTTCAACTTAGGTGCGTTGAGACGGATCTTAGATGAAAAACTACATGTAGCTAACCTACAGATTTTTTTAACACCACTAGTCTCGTGCGAGTATCGGGAAACATGGATTTTCTTCTATAAACATAGATGGTTATAATTACATGCTCAACTATTGGTAAACTTGCATACCTGTGAAAATTCAATTGTAAAAAATGGGTTTTAACCACTATGGAAGAACGCTAAAAATTGTGTTTCGATATTCGCGGTGAGTAGAAAACGGACATCCCACTGTGTAGCTTTGTGTTTAACAGCAAAAAAGCCAACCACCGCACGGCACTGGCGGTTAGTTGTGCTTTAAAAGCCTATTTTCTATATCTGGGAGCTGTTTGGTCATAAATTATAAATAATTTTGTATTCCCGTGAATCCCCCCCCCAAAAAAAAAATCTTGGCAACTGATTCGAAAAAGTCGGTTTTAACAAGGCAGTTTGCAAATCAAACTATAGTGGTGGAAAACATTATTGCATCACACACTTTTTTTGACACTTTTTTTTTTTTTGGTTCCTGTAATTTTTTACACAATTGTGCATTGTGGAAGTATCAGAACTGGTGTAAAATAGTTATAGACGTTGTGTGGTGCAAGTTGACTCATATTTCCATCATCCAAACATGTATATGCATTTTTATTAATAAAAAATCAACTGTGACAAACGTATCACAGCAGATGATCAACAAGTACGAAAATGTTTCCCGAGTAAGTAAACATTAGATTTAAAGATAACGCTAGTAGTGTAATTGAAAAAAAAAAGTGGTTACCGAGTCTGTTTTTTTTATTTTAATATTTGGTTTTGCCCCCTCTGGCCTTGTTTACTGCTTGACGTCGACGTAGCATAGAGTGCGCGAGCAACTGAATGTAGGCAGGGGTGAGTTCATGATGTCACACGTGGATTATGGCTTCCAGCAGTTTTCGATAGGGTTGAGATCTGTGCTGTTGCCTGGCCACTGTAGTGTTTTGATCCTCTCACTTTAAAGATGGTCCTTCACCTGAAGCAACGAAATAATACCTATGATGTTTGTTCATTACACACGGAGTGAAATTTCTTCTTTATTTCACGTCTACTGCATAGAGTTCATGAACATTACCAACCATTTAAACCCTGGAGCATGGAGCAAGAGTAATCCTGGAATGTGTACTGGTCAGCTCCACCGAAGTTATCCCGAATTGTTAGCTTTAACCTGGACTCGAGGATCTCGATGTACTTGTCAGCATTTGATAGTGCCTTTCACAAAATGTAGACGTCCCACACCCTGCCTAGAGATACAACCCCTATATCACCTAATTCTGTGGATACTTCACAGTTGCATTCAGACACGCTGGATGAAACTCTTCTCCACATCGACGTTGTATAAAGTTGAACTTTGATTTGTCCGTAAAGATCACTTTGCTCCACATTACTTCAGTCTAGTCAGCATGCTCTTTGGTCCAGTTGAACCTCATCATCCATATCTTGTTGGTGAGAAAGTTTTTTTTTTGTTGTTGTTGTTTTTTTTCTTGGCCGTCTTACTGAACACAGGCGATATTGGATGGTGTGCATGATGACAATGACCCCTGAACTTTCTTGCCATGCTCTTTTGAGATCTGTGGACGACTCTGCAGGCTCATACGCTGTAGAACACGATCGTCGGCTGCTGTGAAAGTTTTTTCTTACCCATTCTCTTCCGCCGCATCACACAACCAACCTCTCTCTACATGTATGCACCCAGCAGCTCACAATAAACTGGTTAAATTTGATTATTCTAACAGTCTGATTTGTCGAAAGTCCTTTTTTTTCTGTGGAATTAACTCGCAACCCTTGGCCATGGTAGCATCACATACACATTGTAGCAGCGGCTCTCAGTAACAACCCCTATTTATAAGGGGGGGGGGGGCGCTGACGCATTACCTAGACAACCTTTAAAGCTGCTGAAGTAGTTATGAAACAGTGTTGTATTATCCATGAAACACGTTTGTACATATATGCATTAAGGTCTGAAAACAGACGTGAATTCCGAAGAAAAGTGGGTGATGCAACAAATTTTTCCACCACTGTCTCTTATGTGTTTACGCGTATAATACATATTTTTTACCACTGATGTGTAAAAAAGTGTTTTATTGAGGATGTGTATGTATATAACTAGCTGAAAATTAACGTTAGAGAGGGGAAAAAATTAAGTGTAAGTATCTTGTAGCTACACATGTAACTGTTAAAACATTACTCAGTTTTACCTCTGGAAATGAATGAAAAGTGCTTAAAAGAATACACACAAAGGGGTTGCTACGCTTAAGAGAAAAGATACCGAACATTTACATGCATGCATATATGTATATATATATATATATATATTTACGTGATTAATTTATGTTTCAGTAGAGCCATAAAAAACAAACTTGACATTTTGTTCATAATAGCTACAGGTCAATATTTTTTCAAGGTCGAACGTCGTAACCCAAGAATGAATTGGTTCATATATAGAAGTTTCAAATTCATGTCAAACAGTTAATTGGCTTTTAAAAATTATTGTGGCAAAAAACATTCGATATGTAATATAATTGTAGCAATTACGAATCAAACAAGTAATTGCCTATAGAAATGTTGATTTGAATATTCTGCCATTTTCGTCCATTTTCAACAACAATATAACTGGGCGGCTTAGCTCGTTCTTCAGTTTTAAAGTTGTTTGCCCGAAATGTATTGATTATACGACATGGTTTGCTAGTTATTGTAATTGGACACTCTAATATGCCCCAAGGCTACAGTGGGCTGTTCATACATAATGAACACGTAGTATAAAAACTTTAAAACATCTGATGATTTTTCTAATATTAGCCAGTGTAGCAATGTTTAAGTTATACAGTTAAATGTAAGTAGACAAAATTTAAACATAAGCCATTTTTTAATTGCTTCTTACAAAAATATATTTTAAATTTTGGATGTATACTGGTCATAACAACAAGTACGATATTTGTGTGTTTTAATAAGTGAAAGGTTATAATATATGATGGTAACTCCCATGATTTATTATTTGCGATATTTTCAAATGAAGTGATCGTATTATGTATTCGTTTAAGTTTTACTTAGCACCGTCGACTTCTTGAAGCACCCGTTGTTAGACCCTTACCTGCTCATTCTTTTCCTCCTCCTTTCTTCGCCCTCCTCGTCAGATGACAAGATTTCCTCGTCAAGTATTACACCATAGACACAACAAATCATGTGATGTTACTTAGATTGTGATGCTACTCACCACCAGATGGCCTCACTTGCCGAGGCACACAAAAAATCCGAATTGGATTACAGTCGAAAGTCTGTATGGTTCGGTTTGTGCTCGAGTGAAGTTCGGAATGTTGATTAACATATCATCAATAACTGAAGAAGATAAGATTAAGAAATTTGTGGGCCGAAGGACAATCTTTTCATGTATTTATAAATCTGGATGTGCATATTTTATATTCAGAAAGATTTAAAAAAAAAGAGCTTTTAAACCTTATCTCCTGATTATATAAGATTATAACCATTACAAAACTATGTAATTAAATATTTTGATGAAATTAGAAAAACGTGATGAAATAATCGAGTTTAAAATTGTAGAGTTTTGTTATTATTCTTTACCAGATATTTGTTTTTGTTGTCGTTGTTGTTAAAGGATTTCATGTAACTGTTATTTCGAGAACAAGACGAAACTATCGTTTTACCACTCACTACATTTCACAAAGTTTTCCTTGACATTTTAGGTTGAGGTACATAATGAAAGCATAACGAAAATATTTGTCTTTATGCTCAAAGTGTCGATATGAACATATCAGTATACCGAATTATATGTACATTAGAATATTTGTTAAAATTGGATTGATTTGTCAGTGGTTAAACTTCACTTAATATGAGAAACTTCCGTTTATATTACATCCCATCTGATTACTGGACAGTTAAAAGGACTGAAACCAACCCATTATTAACTCAAACTGGGTGATTTTGTTTGAGATAGCATTTAGTGTTTATAATTTATTTTTGAGCAAACGAATGTGTAAGTTGAGTCGAAATCGTTCAGAAGTGAATACGTCTTGACAAGATATCATTTTTTTAATAGTTAAATTGTGGATGTATTTGACTCAGTAGAACCTACATCGGAATTGTTATTTTTGTAAAATGTATTGCAGATGTTCATAGAAGAAGAAGAAGAAGAAAGATCTCATTGGCCTTTTTCCTCTGATCTCTTACATTATTCTTTCAGAAAATTACCCCCTCCCCTCCAACACACACACTTTTTAGTTTATATTCAACGTATATGAAAGTAAACGAATGTAAACACGCCTAACTTTTCCATCACTTTCTGGTGAGTTTTTCAAGTGTGTATTAATTCTTGACATTTAAAATTACAAACAGTAATAATAACTATAAACTAACGTAATCGTGTAATGATGTTTAACACCCTGTGAAGCGATCTGTTTTGGTCCTCACATCAATAACGTCAATGTCATCAGCGTGCTTATGTTGGAAAAAAAATCAATGCTTCATACTTGACTCAGGGATATATAAATTCATCTCTAACTCACATATAATGAGTTGCATATCCATAAGTTTCTTATTGAAAAAGGAAATAAAAACGTTGCCAATATAAATTACAGTGTACGAATCAGTGCAATAAACGGCCTAAATCTATGTACAGATTCCATAATATTCGTCTGAAGTCGCGTGAATTCACGTTTGATACGAAACCTCACCTTTCAACGAGCTTATGATACTCATAGACAAGATTTAAAGGAAGTTTTACGAATCTAATCACTGAGTGCGACCTTTTAACATAGTTGGTAGGCAAAACAACATGAAACGTCACTCCGTGTAAAGGGTAGGTTCTAAACTGTTTTTATTTTCAAGCCTTGAGGGGTCGTTGCTATAAAATACATATATTCATACACATACACACAATAAATTGTAAATGGTGTTTTTTTTTCTGTTGTTGTTACTTCGGTTACGTGTGCTTTACAATTTTACTTGTTATTCTTTACATGTCATGGTTTGCGTATTAAATGCGATTTTTCAACAATAGATAACACGACTTATTGATATGTGTTATTTTATTGTTTACTTGCCTTTATTTATCGTTTATAATTTAAATGTTATAGTGATATAATTTACTGTTTTTGAAATAATATTGTATAGGAATGACCATTTTTCACATTGACCACTTGAGTTGGGATAGGTTGAAAATATTTGCGCTTTTCTTCTTTTAAGTAGAAAAACAAATTTCGCTTAATCGAAAAGTGGTCTTGTACGGTGATTGTATTGTGAGATTTTAATAACTTAAATACTTGTTTTTATTTCACAAACGGTAAGAAAACATTTGGCAATCAAAGAGCTTTAAGGATAATGAAAAATAATAAGTGGACGTTGTTTAAAAATGTAGCACGTTATCAAGGAAACATATCATTATTATTATTCCCACGTTTGTTAACAGTTTCTAGCGAAAAACCTAAAACAGAGGGTCTCAGCTTATCAAGTATTTTGATGAACCAATTATTCTGAATTAAAATATGATTATCTGTTAAAATAAAAGGCTAGATTCTGTAATTTGGTCTAAATATAAATGTTGTTCTCAACTTACAACTTGTAAAAGATGATGATTAAAAAAGACATATCCTTAAGCCAGTTTTAAAATAGTATTTGTTTATTATAAACACTTATTTACTCTTATCGTAAACTGTTAGGATTAGTCTTAGACTATTATTAATATAAGTACAACTTGATACAGCTATATGAATACTTTTTTTTTCTGATATTAGGGTGATAGAAATAAATAAAATAATATTGAAGAGAAACCAAATCTCTCTTTTTTTTGTAAGCATTTAGGTACATAAAAAGATAATATGAATAATTGTAAAATGTTTTTAAATCACTTATTTTAGATATAGTGTTTTTATCTAACAGTTTTACGTTTGAGATGTATAAAATGTATATAATCGTATAACATCCAGGATTGTGATTTGTTTAATTTTATTATATATGTTATGTTTTTGTGTAATATTTGACTGTGAAAAATAGCAGAAAAGAAAAAAATATTTATTTCGAAATGGTATGAAGTTTTCTACTAATTTGACTTTTTAACGTGGCAAAAAAAAAAAGGTCACTGACACCTGGTGAACTGTGCATGACATATAGTAAGGGGTGTCACGTGAGCAGCTAAATATTATATGTAGTAAAAGACTGTAGTTTTTATTTACTATTTTCGTTTTTTACCAAAACAGTCACGTATAGTAAAGTAGGTAAGCTGAGAGGATATACTTTAGAGATATCCTAACTGTGATATATTTATGTGCAGTATAAAATTCAATTTCAGGACGCAAGGCAACCACTGCTACTTACACTGTGAAATAGGATTATAAATTTAAAGTTTTAATATACGATTTTAGATTTTTATAGTTAAGATCTACATGTAGCATTTTGACAATAACCAGTCAACGAGTAAACTAAAAAAAAAAAAAGCAGGATGAAAGTTTGTGTGAATTGTATACAGTCTAAGCAATTACTGGAACTTGCTGATATTGCTATTGCTGGGGAGCGGAAGGGGGAGGAAAACCACAACCGAGCAGTGGTTCGAATATGAACACGTATTTTAATAGAATGGGAAGTGTGCATTTCTATGAGGACTGTGATGGAAACGATGCTCAAGGAGGGTCGTCATTTTAAGGTCGTATTTTTATCATAATAATTGTTATTTTTAGATGTAGTTCACGAGAAATATATGTGAGCCCGATACATATCTCGTGTTTTGAGGACATATCATGCACTTGTATCTCCTGTTGCTCACATCTTACGCTACCTGATTTTCTCTTTGGGAGATTACTTTCTAATTTTTTTTTCAAACAACAGATTTAAAGAGGTTAAATAATAGACTAACAGTGTCACAAACATTATATTTAAAGTGTTTAAATATTAGGCCTGAAGTGTTTCAAACACCAGGTTTAAAGTGCCAATAATAACTGCAACTTTTCACTATTTTTTGTGCACGCGCACCGAGGAGAGAGCTATATTTGATTGTGGTATTGTCCGTCAGTCTGTCTGTTAGTTAATATTTATCTCTTAACACCAACCTTTTGAATTTTGAGTGCAATAGATTCAGCGTAACTTGTGTCCAAATAGACATGTGACCTCTCGATAGACTTCACTGTATTGTGCAAGTGGTATTGTTGATGTTTAATATTTGATGATACATTTGAAACTTCTTTGTGAATGTATTTTGTTCTTTTTATGCAAAATAATATTTTACGGCTTTTAGATGTTTTTTTAACTTTTTCACCCCTAAAGATTCATACCAGTTTAAATATGATGAGCAACAAGTTACGCTGAATCGTGTTCTTTGCTATTGAAGTTTTAATATGTATGTGTTTTTGTCTTTGATCCCAATTTCATGTTTTTCCAGGGATTATGGTTTCTAGTAGATTTTTCTCTTCCCTTGCATGGATTTAGGATAATGACTTGTGTAGTGACAAATTTAGCATTGGTCTAATTTAAAAATGAACATTCTAGTTGGCGCGTTTTCCTTTTAATCCTATATCTGATTCCAAAGGACAAAAATATGTTTACAGTTTTGATGCAATAAATGAGGTACAATAGTGTCAATGTTGTTTATAAATTTCTTGCAAAGCGTTGAATGTCGGTTTTTGAGAATAAGCTGTTAGTTTATAACTTGAGAATGATGTGCTTATTATAATGGTTGTTTAATAAAATATGACTTCCAAAACGAGCCATTTATTTCTTTGTTGTTGTTTTTCATAAATCCACATCTTTATGCCTTCAATATACCATAATTAATACAACTTTAAATAAATCGAGCTCTTAATTGAACCTGCTATTTTTAATGTTAATAATAAAATATAGTAAAACTGTTCAAACTTGTTTTTACCATTAGTGTAAACAGCCTAATTTTATAATAGTTCTCTTATAAAAGTTTTAAAATGTTTAGAAGGCCAATTTCAATGAAAAATATCCTGTTACCTAAACGCTTTCGAAAGAAGACAATCGATTCTCTTGTTGTTGCAATAAAGCTGAAAGTGTCTGTGATATATGAACCAATGAAAATTGTAAACTTTCCTGACGTTATCACGAGATCACTGTATTTGTGAAGTTGGAAATAACATTGACATTATCGTGTAGTAGTACACGTAACCGCCGAATTGTGATTGGTCGTTACCCTACTTAAATTGACTTGACGTTATCGTGCGATCAAAATGTTTGTAAGGTTGCAAATAATTGCCTGTTATATTATTTCAGATATATTAGGGATACATTTCATTTTCTATAACAGCTCGGGGAGGAAATATTTTCATTTTTTTTATAGGTGAGCCGTCTTTTGCCAATATGTGAATAGAAGTACAAGAAATCTAACTTAAAGCAACCTACCGAATAAAAGGTGAAATTCTTGCCAACTGTAACTAACACATTTAGTACTTTTGTATGATTTGTAAAGAAAGAGTTACGAATAATAACTCACTCAAATAGGGTATGCGCGGGTACAGAAATAAAAAAAAATACTTGAATAAAATGTTCGTATTTTGAATTTATTGAAGTTAGGAGGGAATAAGTCTATCAACAAGTAGAAGTTATAAACAGCAAAGTTGAATTACAGAATGCTGTTAGAAAAACTACGCTTTCAGAAGTTTAAAACCCAGCACTAAGTCTGAGGGCTTATAACGCTAAATATCGGGTTAAGATAACCAAGGTGGGCAGAGCACACTGTATAACTTTACGCTTACCAAACAGAAGCTTAAAATGCGTTATATGTCGTAATTATAAAATCAGAAGATTAAACACCCATAAAACCGTTTGTTGTTGTTTAGTGAGCAGGTGGTTTAACATGCTTGGACTGTGGATTCGAGAATTCACGGTTCATAACCTGAAGCCGAAAAAAACGCTGCGTTCTGCACTTTGGAGCAGTGGGTGGGATATAATAGTGACAATCAAACCACACTTTTTGGTCAGACAAGAGTTGACTGTAGATGTCTTTGATTAGATGCATTCTCTTTAGTTGTATATTGATAGCTTTTTGTGTAGTTTTGGGTTAATATTCTAAAACAATTTTTCTTTATAGAATTACTGTCTCAAAGTTTAGGTTTTATAGCAGGCAACAGTTCAGGCTAAATTCGCAATGGTCAGAGCAACTTATAACTTGGCCATAAATTACAACCAAAAATAATGGAAATGCCGTCTCCAAACTTGTTT